CATTGATCACCGGGCTTGGTAACCGATTAATCAGATATATCACCGTGGCAAAAAGCGTAGGTCCAATAGTGTGGTGGAAGAGAAGCTTGATGAAGGAGAGTTAAACCCGTTTCCACTAAGTGTCGATGCTTCCGCTCGGAGATACCGTTATGTTCTGGCGTGTGTGGAGGAGATGTCAAATGAGATATTCCGTGAGACATCAGAAACGGTCGTAATCCCACATACTCGCCTCCATTATCAGAATATAAAGTTCTAATTTTTCTTTGGAAACGTGTCTCCACCAAGTTTTTAAACGCCATGAATATCTCTCGAACCTGAGATTTCTGCTTCATCGGATAAAACCATGTATATCTCGTATAATGGTCCACAAGAATGAGATAATACTTATAATTGTCGATAGAGACAACAGGCGAAGTCCACACATCCGAATATATGTATTCCAATGGGTTATGAGAGGTGATTGTGTTTGAATAAAAAGGAAGTTTGTGGCTTTTATTAATAAGGCAATGAGAACATGGGTATTGTTTTTGAGAAGAATGAGAAAGCGGTAAAGAAAATTTAGAAATAAGTGTTTGTAAAACTGAAGATGATGGATGGCCAAGCCAGGAATGCCATGATGGAATGGAAGTTTTGGTGTTGGTGAAGCAAAGAGGGAGACAGTGGTGTTTGGTTTGATTGGCCACTCGTATAACTCATCTTTAGTTTTCCCTTGGAGTAATTGGGCCCCTGTGCTGAGATCCTTCACCTGAAAATAAGCCGGAAAGAATTCCACAAAACTCGGTTAGCGTTACAGAGACGGTAAACAGAGATGAGGTTTTTATGAATGTTTGGGACATAAAGGATATCATTTAATTTAAGTAAACGAGAGGGGGTATAGAGGTTTGATGAACCAGTATGCGAGATCGGAATCGTGGAGCCATCAGCTATGGTGACTTCTTCGCCACCATGATAAGGCTGATGTAGAGACAGGTTGGCTAGATCTGTTGTGAGGTGATGCGTGGCACCGCTGTCGAGAATCCAGTTATTTGGATTGTAAGTGTTCGCTGCTACCATGTTCGCTCTAGGCTGCCACGGAGCTGGTGATGGAGAGTAGCTGTTGGTGGCCGGGCTGTTGTACTGGCCGGTAGAGTATTGCAGCTGTGAGCAACGGCGTGCGCTGTGTCCATGGACGCCGCAGATTTGACAACGCCCTTGATATCCACGAGGAGCATGTTGATCCTGTCGCGGCTGGAATTGTTGTTGTTGCCACGTTTGGTTCTGGCGATGATGAGATCGTTGATTACGATTTCCACCATGATGGTTGTTGGACTTGTTTGTGTTGTTGGTGTTGGAGCTGCGGTATTGTGTGACGTTGGCCGAGACTGGAATCGATGGTGAGGGAACCACCATGGACTGTAGTTTTACCTCGTAGTTAATCAGCTTCTCATGAACTTCCGTGAGAGACGGAGGAGCGTCGCGTCCTTCGATTTGATCAATGACTTGTTTGTAATCATCAGTTAGACCACCAAGAATATAATCAATCTGATCCTCGTGTTCCATGGGTTTTCCAAGAAGTGCCAATTGATCAAATCAGGTCGTTAAACCTTGTATGTATTCATTGATTGACTTACTTCCCTTAGTCCACTGTTTGATTTGCTGTCGGAGCTGTTGTTGGTGTCCACGGCTGGGGTTTGCATAAGTAGAAGACAAAGTTGTCCAGATTTCGGCAGATGTCTTCGTTCTCGAGAGGATGGGTTGAAAGGAGATCGAAATTGCACCAAGTAATGCACTGTATATCAGCTTATCCTGGCGCTTCCAGATTGTGTAATCACTGTTGACGGTGACGACACCATTGGTGGTTAACGTCGCTGGTGGGGCAACCACGGATCCGTCGACATAGCCAGCCAGATCGTAACCGTCAAGTAAGGCGTGAACTTGACGATTCCACATCAAATAGTTTGTTGATGTCAACTTGGTAACATTTGACATGTTAACATTTAGGAGAGTTGGAGCCCCAGAGATCGGAATTGTTTCAGAAGAGATGGTCGGTGAAGCCATGACAAACAAGAGAAAGGTTAATTCAAGAAGAAGTAAAAAAATTTGAAAGAAAAGATGGAGGCGGCTGGATTTTTAGGTCTAAGATCTCTGCTCTGATACCATATAGCGTAATAAGGCTGAATGATTCTCATTAGACACACGATGTACACAATATATAGAGATTACATAAGTAGGATTAGGTATAAATGTTTGACTAATCTACCCTCTGTACATATACACATTATATTTAAGTCTTAATTAATCTTACTGTCCAACGGTTAGAGTTCTTGATGTGTTGTAACTTAAGCACTTAGAGTAGGCATAGACTCGTGCTCCTTTTAGTTTTGGCTTATTTGGTGAATTTAAAGAAACAAAAATTATGTGAAGCTGTAACAAAGTCTTTTAATTATATTTTGTACAAATAGATAAATCAACATAACTTTTTGGACTTTCTAGACCATTAATGGAATCTTAGTTAACCACCAAAGCAACCAGTGTGACAGTGTCACTCCGGCTAACCTATGAGGGATGTACAGTGCCGTGCCTAGGATTTTGGAGGCTTTAGGCTAAAATTAAAATGTGGTCCTTTTAATGAAATTATATAAAAAATTAGTAATCAAATGTGTAGTAATATTTTTAAAAAATTTGGTGAAAAAATAGTTATACTTTTATGCGGCTGAGGATCGAACTTGAACAAAATAAAAATATGCACAAGACAAATTAGCCAACTAAGGAAACTATAATTCACTTGTTAAATGTGGCCTCTAAACTTAATAAATAAGATGTGGTCTTAAGCGATTGCCTTTTTCATTTCACTGTAGGCACTGGGGATGTATTTGTATTTAATTTCAAGGCATGCCCAAGTTGCTTGTCCTCCCATCAAGGCACGTAGAATTCTTTTTAGGGGTATGGTTTTTTTTTCCACCCTCGGAATGATATCGAGAGATATTATTTCAGTGTTATTACACCCTGAGACCGCCGAAGAAGTGCCTTGACGACCGCAGCCACTACTTTTGTTTTCCTTTTTCTTGACCTATCTCCATCTTTTTTTCATGCTGGAGACTTACCATTATGAGTAGGTTGGCTCCTGCGATTGTCTTGCTTTCTTTGAAATTTATATTTTGATCAATTGAAAAAAAAAAACCAAAGAGTGAGACGTGATCCACTTGGGATTTGTTTGACCAAGTTGATTTCTATTGGCTAGCCTCGTTGTTAGTCCCTTAGTTTATTGGAGAAGAAGTATTCTAAAGATTGACCACAAAGTGGTTATGATGTTTATGGACATAAACATAATTAAGATGGATTCGTTCAATTTTTTACTTTTTATTTTTATTTTTTGATGTTTTGTTCGCCCTAAACCTATGATGGGCACAACGTTTCTTTTGTTCACACTTATAAAAGGCAAGATTGGGCAAACTCAAAACCCTAATATCGACTTAGAGAACCCCATAAAGCTGTTTTTCTTCTTCTTCCTACGGAGATCAGATTACAAAGAGAGAAATAATGAAGATGTCAGATCTTCCATTGGATTTGGTAGATGAAATACTCTCTCGGATATCAGCCACATCTATGTCTACATGCAAACGATGGAACTTGTTATTCAAAGATCCAGGATTCTCCAAGAAGCATCTTCGTAAAACTCCAAAGCAGTATCGTGTTCTCATGTTGAAGGATTATAAGCTTTATTCAATGAGCCTTGATCACAACGTTTTCCCTTCATCTATAGAGTTTAAATATGCACTAAGCCTAAAGTATTTGCATTATAATTCAGGACAAGTCGATATAGTGCAAGTTTTTCACTGTGATGGTTTGTTGTTATGCATCACCAGTGACAATAGACTAGTGGTTTGGAATCCTCAGGGGAAAGGAGGTGGATACAACACAAGAGTGGTTACGGGAGATACATTAGGTTTGCTCTAGGATACGAAAACAACAACCAATCTTGCCGCAGCTACAAAATCTTGCGGTCTAGCGAAACAAATGGCCAAGTTCGTGGATTTGAAATCTATGAGTTTAGCTCTAATTCATGGAGAGTTGTTAATGCTCCAAATGGCTTCAGAATAGGCATGATATTCTTTGGCGTGTGTTTGAAGGGAAATACTTGGCTTCCTTCTGATTCTGATGATAACAAAGACAAGTACTTACTCAGTTTTGATTTTACAAGAGAGAGATTTAGACGTTTGTGTCTTCCCCAATCTCTGTATCCTGTAAGTTATATGGCTCTATCTTCTGTTAGAGAAGAACAACTCTCACTGATAACTAAGATCAATTATTCAGCAGTTGTGGAGCTGTGGGTGACAAATAAAGTTGATGATACTGAAGCAGAGTTGTCATGGATCAAATCCTTGGCAGTGAACTCTCACAGATATATAGAAAATTTCTTTCTATATAATAGAAGATCGTGCTGTCCATTTATTTTCAGTTATGTTCCAAGTTTGATTCAAATCCCCACCAATGTAGAGACAAAAGCAAAGAAAGAAGAACATTCACAGTTGCTCCTGAGTGCAAATCCCACCTCTTCTTGATTAATTATGTCTATTCAAATGAGGTATGGTCCTCTTTCTTTCTATACCGATCTCTCTCCTCCTCCTTTATTTGATGGCATTGTAATGGGAATTTTAATTTTTTTTTTTTTTTTTTTTGTTTCTTCGTTTTTGCTTTTATAGACAATGTCGTTGTGATTGCTTTCAATGAACCCGCTGAATTTTTTTCTTCACTCCTTGGAATTATTTTGGTTGTGAGTTCTTTGTGTAAAGTCATCATCTAAAGCCTTTGCCTTAACAATGATATTTCTCTGTTTTCAGATTTTGTAAGTATTTTGATTTGACATGTAAATTAAAATGTAACAAAATGATGTATTCGTAAGAAATTAATTTGATGAGACATGTTCATTTGTTTTGAGTTTCCATGTTGTTAAAGATGAAACATGTTCATTAGTCTAAGAGTTAAAACTAAGGGTTAAATCTGCGAGGTTATTGAAGAAATCAAAATCATTTATTAATTTTCGAGAGAATTATTTATGCATGTATGAATTACAAACTTGGCTTTATATTCCAAGAACAGAGAAGATCTCTAGCTAGGATCTCTTCAGTGATGTCTCAATCCGTTTGAGTTCTTTAGCTACTTGGATCATCTTTGGCCTGTCTTCATATCTCTTCTCGCAGCATCTCAAAGCAAGGACAACACACGCTTCCACTTGCAATCTTTCACCACTTGTGATGTCTTTCACCATCATCGTTGGATAAACCGGATCCATTACTTCATCAAGTTGTCCATTCTCATACAAGTCTTTCGTATAACCAAGAATTCCTTCACGCTTGCGATTAGATCCGGTGAAAAAAACCGGTCTACCACTTAGAAGAACCATCAAAAAGACCCCAAAACTATACACATCGGTATATTCCGTTACGGAGCCCGTGACACGGTATAACGGATCTATGAACCCCGATGTTCCCACCACGGGAACAATCGAGCTTTTCGATTTTCCCTCAGGTAACGTTATCGAGAGAGAGAAGCCAGACAGCTTAGCAGTCCAATTCTTGTCCAAGAAAACGTGTGTTGGCTTAACATCTCTATGAACTGTGATCTTAGGGAATGCTGTGTGAAGATAAGCCACCGCATTTGCAATCTCCTTCCCAATCTTTAACCGAACATTCCACGGAAGTAAAGATTCTTCCTCCAAGTTAACCATAACACCTCCTCGCTGATTCAAGACTCCATGTTCTGCGTTTTCAAACACAAGAACAGGATAACAAGACTCCAAACAGTATCCCAACAATTTGAGAAAGTTGCTGTGATTACTCACCCGAGTAGACAAGACGAAGTCATTGTAAACCTCTCCTACTTTGTGTTCTGTACCTTTATCCACGAGGTATCTCTTGATCATGTAGCTTCTGTTTTCGATGATACCTCTGTACCACCACGTGTGGAAACCCTCGAAGGCGACAAAACAGGTGGAATCGAAGTTCTTTGTGGATTTAAGGATCTGATCGAAAGAGAAACTGCGTAGAGGCACGGATTTGCCATTACAATCAGCGATGAGTTCTTGTAACAAGATGCTTCCGTTCTCCAAGAACCAGCTTTTTTCTTGAAAGTCCTTTTCATTGTTTTTCTCAGATCTCAGTTTCTGCTTCAACTTCTTCACCATCGATCCCATTTACGAAATTAAATAACAAATTTCTGCGAAAAGATGTTAACAGTTCCTCCAAAATCAAGAATGACCTGAAGAAAAAAAAAAAGCAATCTTATCTTTCTAAGAGGAAACAAAGTATTATCATTGGTCAAGTTGGAAAAAACTGCACAAATACACGGCCAAGTATTATGAGTGGACGAAGATTAATATCTGATATCAAAATAATCTGATTTCTTATGATAAAAAGTACATCTCAAATTATAATTTTATAGATTATATTTATAGATAGTCAAGTTACTTATCAATTTAAACTTTAAAGTGAAAAAAACTTTAAAGTGAAAAAAAAAAAAACTTTAAAGTGATTTTTTCTTGTAAAATGACCTCAGATTATTACACACGTACACAATTCGCATGTACACAAAAAATACCTCCATTCCTGATGTGGTGTGAAATTTAGAGGTACAATAAAAAAATATCACACATGTACACAATTGACATGAAGAGAAGGTTCAATCAAAAAAACATTTGACGTATATATTTGTTTATGTATATGTATTTCAAAAGTTCTGTACAATGACTTTATAGTTCGGTATTCAAATGAAATCTATGAATTTATTTTTGCTGTTTAAAAAAAAAAAAAAAAAACTCAAGTTACTCATAATATCTGATTGTACATTAACATTTTACCCGAAATCGAGAGAGAAAGATGAAGGTCTTCTCTTTTGTTCATGAACGCCTAAGTAATCGTGTTAATAATTGGTCCGCAAGACTTTTTTCCAAGAGTGGAAAAGAAATTCAGATTAAATTGGTGGCTCAAGCTGTCTCTACTTACGTTATGTCTTGTTTTCTCCTTCCTAAAGGAGTTACAGACAAACTTCAGAGCGCCATTGCCAACTTTTGGTGGAGTTAAAAAAAAACTAGCAACGGGATCCACTGAATTGCTTGGGACAAGGTTTGTACTCCAAAGGATATGGGAGGCCTTAGATTTAGAGATCTAAATGATTTTAATCTAGCCTTACTAGCGAAGCAACTATGGAAACTCATTCAGTACCCTTCATCTCTTCTGGCTCGGGTGCTAAGAGGAAGATATTATCGACAATCAGATCCGCTAGAGGATCAAAATGTCTACTCACCATCCTATGGATGGAGGAGTATGTTGGCCGCAAAACCGTATCTTAAAATTGGACTAAGGAAGACGATAGGGTCGGGGCTAAATACGAGGGCGTGGAGTGAGCCTTGGATCGCCGACGCCAGGCAACCCCCCAGATCGGACTTCAGGACCCAGGAGTGTTAGTTTACTCCTTTATCCGTCAAGATACGAAGCAATGAGATGAGCCTCTTCTAAGAGAATTTTTATGTCCCCGCTGTTGGAATCCTGAAGAATCTATCAACCATCTTTTGTTTTTATGTCCCCCGGCTTTACAAGTCTGGGCGTTATCGGACTTTCCGTCCCTTCCGGGTCTCTTTCCGAATAGCTCTATTTACCAAAATATGAGCTTTCTCTTTTGGAAAACAAAAGAGTTAAGCATGACAGATCCTCAAAAGGATATCTATCCTTGGATCTTGTGATATATTTGGAAAGCGAGGAACGACAAGATCTTCAACGGGAAAGAAATTTCCCCTGTAGATACTTTGATCCACGCCAAGGTTTAAGCAGAAAGTTGGGTGATTGCAAACCAACCGAAAGAAGAAGAAGACGTATCACACGAGGCTCCGCTCACTCCTTTGCTCCTGAGTCCTTTACCCGATACCCAGAGGTTCCCGATTTGTCAGGTTGATGCATCCTAGATAGACATCGGCCTGGTTAGTGGGTTCGGGTGGAGCCTGAAGGAGGAAAGAGGTGGCGAGACTTTTGGCCTTCAGAGCTGTCGTAGAAGCCTATCGGTCTTTCATGCCGAACTGGAGAGCCTATTGTGGGCTATGTCTTGCGTGAAAGATAGACAAATTTTATATGTACATTTTCAAACCGATTGCTTGGATCTGGTAAGCATGTCTGAATTGTCATTGGATTGGCCATCATTCTTATCAGAGTTGGAAGCCTTTCGCAACCTTCGGGAAAGCTTTTTAGATTTCACTCTCACCCATATCCCCAGAATTTCAAATGTCCGAGCGGATAGTTTTGCAAAATGAGCTCGAGCAAGAGGCTGTATTTTCTCCCAAATCATTTATACCGAGCTAGTTGAAGACGGTTTTCGGATCATTCCTTTAACGGGCTGAATGTGATGTAATAGTTGAGTTGTAGATAAAAACAAAAAAATGTCATTTACTTGATGTCCTAAAAAGAAACCAAAAGCTTTTGTTGACAGGCCTGACAAAATGGGCTTGTAAGGCCCAATTGAATAAACTCTCTAACCCTAATACGTGTTCCCGTATAAAAGCCACCTCCATCACCTTCTCTCAGTTTCCTTCCTCAGCTTTAGGGTTTCTCTTCGTTTCGGCTCAGTCCCAGAATCAAGATCACAAGGCGTCGATATGGTACATCCATATCTCCTTTATTCAATTTTAATCTCCATTTTTCAGTTTAGATTGGTATTTTACGAAAATTCTTTACTTTGAGATCGATTCTGATCTTCTTTATTTGAAACAGCCGTCCCACAAGTCGTTCATGATCAAGAAGAAGCTGGGGAAGAAAATGAGGCAGAACAGGCCAATTCCTCACTGGATTCGTCTCCGCACTGACAATACCATCAGGTTCGTCAAATTTATGTTCTTGTTCTTTACTTGATCTATTAGCTGCAGAACTAGTGAGATCTTATTTGGGTTTTGTAATTTCGTTTTCAGGTACAACGCTAAGCGTAGGCACTGGCGCAGAACCAAGCTTGGATTCTAAGAGGTCTACTTTTGGCTTGTTTGTGTAAGCTTTGTTCTTTCAAAGACTTGTTTCAAACTTGTAGTGTTTCTTCTCAGTTTTGGTTGTGACGATTACATTGACACATTTGTGTAAGACGATTTTAATCATTTATCTTCAAATTTCCGTCCAAGAGTACTTAATTGAGTTTATTCACTAATTCAAAGTATTTAGATTTGATCTTTTGGTTATCTTTTCTTGTGGTTTGTTTACAAAATGTTGCTCTCGCCCTCTCGTATAATTCGTAGATTGGTTAATTGAGATTGATCCAATTTGGTATGAATCTCCCTACCTACTTAACACATTATGATCAGTATATGCTGCACTAGTTCATTGATTTGGCAAATGACTTTCAGTTATACATTTTGTGGGTTAATTGCAATGCTCTATTAAGTGTATCTCTATTTTTAGGTAATTTGACTCTGAATAGCTTCCCATTTTTGTTCGTATGAGGAGTATATATACAAATTCTGAATCTATTTGCCTTATACTTGGATTTTCCATACTTTGTGTATGCGATCTTGTTCACTTTTGGTAAATTGATTAATAGATTAAGTATCACTGAGGCTTGAGAAGATACTTGAATATCGTTCTAGCTATCTATCTATCAATTAGCGATAGCATGATCAATATTCACTTGATGGGTAGAATCCGTTATATCTAAATTCTAAATAATCGTTTTAGAGGTTGTTAGGTTTTTCATACTCCAATTGGGTTGATGAGTTTAGTAACACAATGAAAATGGAATTTATGCTTTAATTTTGATACAAAACTTAAACAAGCCGTTGGAACAATTTTGTTTTTGATAAATTAATTACGTTCAATGTAAGCTAAATGCAAACTAGAATTAGCAGCATGAGATTTTTGGTAACGATGATTGTAGTCAAGCTTTTAGAAACCGAACAAGAGATAGTTGCAGGAAAAACAAGAACAAGATACTTTTTTGAGTATTCCGTTATGTTTAATAGACAAGTACAAGAACAGAAATGGAGACTAGCTCAATTATTAACAAATGAAAAAATTGAAACAAACAATAAATCAGAAATGAGAAGACTGAACCGAGCTCATAATACTCCATAAATTTCCGGTTGGAATTCTGGTTCGGTTCGGTCGCTGCAACTCCATCAATTTCACATTTCAATTGACAAATGGATTTATTTGAAATAGTCAAAGTTGTGTTATTTTGGTTTAGTGGGTTTGAAAATTGAAATTACCTCTGCGTCAATTTGTCATTTTGGGGTTTCACCTATATTTTAATTGAAGTGTTGACATTTGTTATTTTTGTCGGCTAAGTGATCTTGTTGTTGCTTCCTTTTCTTGTATTCTGGTTCTAATGCTTACAACATTCTTCGTAAAGAGGATAAAAAGGATGACGTTTTGTTTCTTCTAGTTAATTTGGTTGCTTACATAACATTTGAAAAACACAATAAAAAATTAATAACCAACTTACCAACAACCCACCCAAATGGCATAACAACGGCGAATAAACGCTTCTTAAAATTTATACACAAAAGTTGAACCCTAGACATTACACTCAAGAATGTATAACAAAGGACAAGTCAATCAATAATTAAAAAACCATCATTTGTAGTTGACAAAAATTACCAATTTAGCATCGTTCAAAATCATTGGTTTTGACATTGACAAAAAATACAAAGTTCGCATCATTTAAATCAAACCACTACATATAGATAGTGTCTTTCGGTGTTAGAGTTCCACCATGAACGCTTTCTTCCTTCATTGTCAAACTTTCCCTTCATTACTCACAATATACCCTTGGTGTTATAGTTAAGCATTTCCCTATTTAACCACTAATCCATATTCAACTAAAGAATGTGGAGATTCATTATAGTGTTGTATCTTCTAGCTTTAATCGGAAATGGAACCTCGGGGAGACCGGCGATATGGAGGAAAGATTTTGGACGGTTGCATGGTTTACAGAACCAGCTTCAACGTGGTCTTGTTCCTCCCTCACAACCCTCTTTATGCCACAATAGAGTAAACACTCTTTCTCATCAAGAAGTTTACTCTTCCAAATCTTATGTTCTTTGCCCATGATCATTGCTTATTCAGTTGTTGAGGTATTATGGTTATCCCAACTTTGTTTGTTTTTCTTTTTGTTGTTGAATTATTAGGAGGGTCTGGGCTAAAGTCCGTAATCTCCCAGACCCGATATCACAACATGTAATATTAGTTTCGTCTCAACCGTCACTCGATCCTGTGACCTCTAGGCTTTGTATGTCAAACATAATTTATAGTTGTATCTGTAACATTTTGATCGGACTAATTAATGATCAAGAGTCATATACGGTACTATATGTAAATTTTATTTTATTTTGATCGGCCATAAGATATATGTTTTGGTAAGAAAAAGATATATGTTTTGGAAAGAATTAGCCAACTTTCTGTATTAAGAATAAGTAACATCTTCATTACTGACTAAAAGAAAGCCTTTGGAACACACTTCGAATACTATATGCTATTCTTGAAGATTAAGTTGTTCTTGAACAAAACAATCGTTTGACACATTGAAGAATCTATAAGCCATGAGTAATTATCCCAAAATGATAAAGTTTTAAAATTATGCGTATGAATATTAACGACAAAGGGGAGACTAATTTAGCCTATTCTAATTTTCAATCCGAAAAATGATTATGGGTTTAAGGTCTTAAGCTTTTTCGGTTACCAAAGCAAAAGAACAAAAAAAAGTATGGTGACTATTGTCTAGTTAAATGTATAACCGATTTTTGTGTGATGTTTATTGCTATTTAACGAAGAAATTTTCTTTCGTGAGATGTAAACAAATTTTTGTTTTCGCAGCATGAAAAATGAGAAGAAAATTGGCAGTTCTAATATTTTTTCTTTCCAAAGAATACATAATTGAGTTCCTATTTGAAGAACATCGTTAATTCTTAATTGGAAATGGGTTAATATAATATAACAAGAAAAATGATGGACAATTGCCAAAGATCAAAATAGCATCAGACCGAATGCGATCAGAAGGAAGGAAAGAGTAGATATATTCTAACTGCAAACAAAATTTCTTGAAGAAATAAATCATATTCACTTTCATTGTTTATTGTATTGTAATTTTTTTGTTTTATGTATCCTAATTTTGTGTATCATATGTAATTTGAATATTATTTTAATAAAGATGTAGATGTTAGGAAAAAAAAAAAAGAGAAGATAATGGTTTGGCAGAGTAACAAAGAAGCGAAAAACAATTCATCAAGAAAGTGGACGAATTAGTTAAAGTCAAAGTAAATCATAATCTTAGTTTGGCCTTTTAATAACTTCAATACCCCCAAATAACTAGAATGACATATTGACATCTACTTTCTTCGTTTTTCTTTCTTCTAGATTTGTTACTTGCGGCCAAAATCGCTAGGGTTTATATCTTCTTCTTCTTCTTGCTTTCTAGAGTTTTTTCCTGCTTTATTGCTTTGTGTCCTTTGTCTCCTGAGAGCTCCTCATTTTATAAGCGAGCTCCTCATTTTATAAGCGAGCTCCTCATTTTATAAGCCTTTTTCAAACTTTAAGTCGAATGAGATTAGGATGATGTCTTAGGTCCGAACATTTTCCTTTTTTGGACCTTATGCGGGTTAAACCTTGATAACGTTTATACAAGAAATACAAAAAGAACAAAGTGATTATGTATAAAAATATTAAATCTTTTTCCAAATACCTCTAGTGTGCTTCCTATCTCTTACCATGGAGTCATCAGTCATCTCCCATTACATCCGATTTTCCTTATTTATGTGTTTTTGAGAAATACACAAAAACTGTGTAAATTTGATATTCACTTTGCTTCACAAAAGTATACTTTGACACTTTTACACATATTAAAAAATTATTAAATTTTTTACATTATTAATACATTCAATCATCTGGTTATCAGATGGCTCTGATGGTTAATGTATCTCTTATCAAAATGGTTATATTTTTGTTTTTAAACTTTTTCCTTGGATCGACTAAAGACCCAGAACAGTAAAGGAAAATAGTATGAGTTGAAAACAACAATCTTATCTGAAAACTTTTTTTTTAACATCTGAACTAGGTGATTACCCGTATCATGTATAGAGTAAATATTTATCATAATTCTTTTATTCCAATATATACATAAAATATTTATAAATATAACTAAAAAATGTTAGCTGATATTTATGATTGCATATATATATATATATGTGTTGATTATGTAATTATAAATAATAATTAAAGTTATATTTATTTTGTATTACAATTGCATAATGTTAGATAGTTGTTTGTTTTATAATTAATTTTAATAGTATTTTTTATATGAATAAAATTGTACATTAAATCTAATTTATATGTTATATCTAACTGGTCCATTAAAATTGCACATTAGATAGTTATTAATTTTATAATTAATTTTAATAGTATTTTTAATATGAATAAAATTGCACAGTAAATATACTAAACTGGATTAATATGTTACATCTAACTGGTCCAACATCAGATTAAGACACTTTGGTTTGATATAAAAAATTTTGAATTATAATATATATAAAAAATTAGATTTTTTATTATTAAATAGATGATATGATCTATTTTGTTTTTAAAAAATTAAAAATTAAGATTAAAGAAAAATGTGTATTAAATTTTTATAAATATGTTGATAAGAAATAAAAAGAGAGAGAATATCTTCACAAATTAAATATTTGAGTATTAAATATATAATTGATATAAACTAATCTCTAACCAAATTAATGTTAATGACATATGATGTAATTAATTTAGTAAGTTGAGCCTAATAATTTTCAAAAAATCTATGAGAAGCTCTCCGAGATTGATACATGTAAAATTGTTAATAACACATGACATAAAATTCTTTTTTAAGTATCCTTCTCAAATAATAATAGAAGATTATATAGATTATGAAATATTTACAAAAATAGATGTATTATATCTGATAATTTTATAAATTAATATCACGATAAATTAATAAAATATTATAATCCCGACATTATTAATTTATAAAAAATTTACTGTAATATATTTTTAAAAATATATATTTAGATTTTCAGCACATATAGTATCTAATTAGTTTTTTATTTTATTTTATTCTAATTACTAAAACAATATTTTAATAAAGATTCATTTCTAATTGAATTTGTCTAACAAATTTTCTGGGTTTAGGTCAAGGCGTCAAATTCTCCGAAACGAGATCAAACGTCGCTTGGAGGAAAGCATGGACTAGTGGCTTTCACGTCTTGTCACTTGTGTCTGCTCCGAATATTGTTAGGAGAGACTTACATCTTCACTTAACGAGAATTTTAGACAATAAGCTCAGCAAAAAACTGTTTGTCTGCATCAAAGCTGTCAAAATTCACCGTTATAGGTCTGCAATCAATTAATGCAGGTGGTTAAATGAATATGTTAAAAAAGAAATAAATACTCAAAAATAGCAATGAATATGTTTTGTGAAAACACGAACTTGTCTATCTTCATCCAAGTGTCTAACCATTGAACTTTACTTTGATCTGTTATTGAAAACGGATCGTATGACTTTGGTTTTGCAACCTTCATATTTCTTTTCATCTTTTCACCAGTTTTAAATAACAAGCCATAGTCATTGATTTTCGCATTTGCATTTTCGTCCTTTGTTGGAGTTACACTCAAGATTTTGATTGACGAGTTTGTATCTGTACCGTGCAATGTATCAAAAGAGACTTCCAATCTGTTGTTGTTACCTGAAAGAAAAAAAAAATTCATAAAAATTATTTGTGATACATAAAACAAATTGCGAAATATGAAATCATCAAGCTAAAAACGTGTTTATCTTCCTTGTCTTAGAGAGAATATCTCTATATATTCGATTAGGAAATATTACAATTCTGATATATGTAAATCTCCTTAGCACTGAATCTTGTACACTATATACTCTTCTACTCATCAATGGAGTATATACAATTCAAAGATTCTACATGGTATCAGAACTCTTACGATCAAAAACACAAAAACCCTAATTTTTTTTCTTTCTTTCACAAAGAGTTCGAAGTCTCCCTCCTCACACATAAAACCATGGGTGACCAAACTCCAACATCGTCCACCACCTCAGAGCAAGTCCCTAGAACATCAAAAACGCCACCGTCTCCTTAATCTCGATGAACATGTCGAACATCACAAAGTTGACCCCAGCCAACTACCTCACATGGCGTCTCCAGATCGAAGCTCTGCTTGAAGCACTTGAGCTTCAAGGCTTCATCACCAACACTGATCAAGCTCCACCAGCCCAGATTACCTCTGACAATACAACAACTGCTAACCCTAAGTTCACGTATTGGACAAGGCAAGATCGCCTTCTATACAATGCAATTCTCGGTACACTGTCTCTTCAGGTCCAACCTATTGTCTCCAGAACCACCAACACACGCGAGATCTGGACAACACTTTCCAAAACCTATGGCAATCCTTCCGGGGGGCACATCAAGCAAATCCACCAACAACTTAAGAATACTTCGAAAGGAAGTCTCTCGGTCCATGCTACATGAGAACCATGCTTAACAAAGCCGATCAACTTGCACTCTTGGGTTCTCCTCCGTTTTCACCTTTTTAAACTTTTTTTCACTTTGCTTGATTTTTCTAAGAGTTAATTGACTCAATACCAACGGTTGACTGAAAATTTAGGTATGTAGGAAATTTTTTTAAAAAAATTAATAAAATAGAAAAGAGAAAACAAATTTATTCCAGAAAACATTTTCCCCGTTTAAATAATTACAAAGAATGTCATTGGTTTAGAAACTGATTTTTCGACAGAATAAATCGGTGACACTGTTCATCATATGATCGGTGCTACTATTCATCTGATTAGAAAACAACTATTTCTTATCAAAAGCGTGTTGTTAACATGCCAACAATAATTATATTAACATATTAACAATAATTACACGTTATATACTATCATTAACATACTTAACATGATAACAATTTTCTTGCATGTTATATATGTTAACGTGATAACAATAATGTCTGATTTTCATAACGTGCTAACAATAACATCCGATAATTATAACGTGATAACAAGAATATTTGATACTTATAACAAGTTAACATATAGTAAAACTGAATATTATTTGTGTTAACTTTGTAATGATAACTATGTTAAGATAATATTTATGTTAATTTTCAATTTATATAATATATTTACTAATAATAATTGCAAAGTTAACATGATAACATTGTTAGAGGCATTAGCA